TCCATCCCCGATCATCCTCGTGGCCCTCCTCTGGACCCTCTCCATCAGGTCCATGTCCTTCTTCTATTGAGGGCTCCAGACCTGCACACAACACTCCAGGTGAGGTCTCACCAGAGCAGAGCAAAGTGGCAGAATCCCCTCTCTGGACCTGCTGGCAACGCAGCTTTTGATGCAGCCCAGGATGGGATTGACCTTCTGGGCTGCAGCTGCCCACTGCCTGCTCATGTCCAGCTTCTCCTCCACCAGCACCCCCAAGTCCCTTTCCTCAGGGCTGCTTTCCAATCCCTCACCCCCCAGTTTGTATTGGTGGCCAGGATTGTTCCGGCCCAGGTGCAGAACCTTGCATTTGCTCTTGTTGAACCTCATGAGGTTCACCTGGGCCCACCTCTCCAGCCTGGCCAGGTCCTTTTGGATGACATCCCGTCCCTCTGGTGTATCGACAACACCACACAGCCTGGGGGGCAACAGGCTTTAATCAACCCCTTCCCCATCCACACTTGGTGAAAAAAACCCCTCTCCACATCCCTCTGCCACATCCCCAGCCTGGTGGCGGCTCGTCCTCTCCTCTGCCAGAGCATCCCACACCAAAAAGAGAGGATTTGGTACCAAATTGATGACACTGGACTCTGGCAGCACCAAGGGGGGGTCTCTGCCACCATAACTCACCACCCAACCACTGGAAGAGACCCCTATGAGCTCCAGGACTCCATGACCAACATCCCCCCCCACCCCAGCCGGCACTAACGGCACGAAGCCACCGGTACGGCGCCGAAACACGGAGGGAGAAGGGAAGGAGCCGGCGGGCAGGCCCCGACCTGCTGGGCTACTAAAGCCAGAGGGGAGCTAGCCTCGTCAGACTGGCTCTGGCAGCCAACCCGGGGCTCGCCCTCCCCGGCCCAACAGGTTTCTCACCCGGTTACGGGCCCCCCCCAGGGATGTTCCCCACCTCCGTGTCCCCCCCAGAGAACCACACACCCCACTGGAAAAGAGGGGGGGCCCGTGGGGATGGTGGCCCTTGTCCAGCCTCTGTTGGGGTCAAGCGTTGTCACAGCAAAGTGGGTGACATTAAGGTGTCCCCACACCCGGGGGTGGCACCGTGACACCGTGCACAGTGGTGGTGACACACACCAGGCACTGGTGACGAGCCGGTCGCTCGGGGCAGGTTGGCAGTGGGTTGGGGGGTACCACAGGGCCCACGGAGCCAGCTGGGGGGGCTGCACTGAGCTGGGGGGGCTGCACTGAGCTGGGGGCACCCCCAAAGCGCGCTGAAGTGCCCCCAGTGTCTCCGTGTCCTGGCCTGAGGACCTGAACCACGACACGGGCTCGGGGCTGGTGGCACAAGGGCACCAGGCACCGCCTCGGTGGGTCACACCATCGTGGCACCACTTTTATACCCCAAAAAGGTGACCCTCGTTATTTTAAGCAGCTCAGGAGCCTGCTTTCCCTGTGGGATGCCGGGCCAGGAGACACAGGAGAGTGGGGAGTCCCAGTCTGGAGCCACCCCCGTGGTTTTCCAGGCAGGATCCAGCCCTGGGGCCGGTGGCTCCGCTCCGTGGACTCGGTGGCCGTGGCTCCCGCTGGCCCCGTCCCGGCCGTGGGGCTCCAGCCGTGGCTCCCGCTGGCCCGGCCGTGGGGCTCCAGCAGCGGCTCCGCTTGGATACGGTTCCCAAAACAGCGAGAGGCTCCGGCCGGAGCCTCCGCTCCGTTCCCGGCACGGCCCTGACTCAGGCGCTGGCAGCGGGGCCCGGCGGGAGGGATTTAATTCCTATCGTAAAACGCAAAGAGCTTAAAACAAAAAACCCCCAAAAAAAATCTTAAAAAACATGTGGAGTGATGGCCGCTCTGGAAACAGCCTGACCCGACCCTAAACTGCTCCAGCTGGGGGGGAGAGGGCAAGGTTCCCCCCAAAGCAGCTTCTGGTGAAGGTAATTCTTGGTACAAACAGCCCGTAGCAGGAGAGAGGGGGCAAAAATGAGGATAAAACACCCCAGTTCCTCTCCAAGGGCCCCCCCCCAGGCCCAGGAGGAGCCAGACCAGCCCCACGGAGCAGCCGGAGGGTCCTGGGCCACGACGGAGCATCGACCCCCCAGCACACGGAACGGAATAAAAGTGTAAAAAAAAAAAAACACCAAGAAAAACAACCCTTGGTCCTGCTGGTCGCCGTAGTGAGCGGAAAAAACACTGAGAACAACCCAAGTCTTTGCCAAAAAGCTGTGTTTCGAGCCAATGGTCAAGTCCTCGGTGACATCCAGACCGGTTCGGTGCCACAGCACCGGTGGGGACCGGTAAACGAAGCCACCAGTCCCCACGGGCACCCAGAGCTCTCCCTGGGAGCTGTAAATAGAGTAAAACACCCCAAAACGGGGCTGGGCGGCTCGAGGGCCCCGCGTCCCGTAAACAGCAGCGAGATAAACCCCACACCCCCCCGGATCAGTTAATTTTATTTACACCACAACATCCTCCTGGGGCAGCCCCAAACTGACCTCTGTCCCCAGAGCGGCCCCGGTTCCCCCGGTTTCACACCCAAAACCAGGAGGATCTACCCGGACCCCGGCCAGGAGCTGATCCTCCCTACCCCCCCTCCCCCCCGGGACCCTCTTTTCCAGCAGCTTGACCTAAAAGGGCTCCTTTTTCTGCAATAGGGGTTTTTTTTTGCCAAGCGCCGGATTGCACAAACCCCGGGCGGAATCAACACTGGCTTTTGGTTATTTGGAATTACACGGCATTTTTTCTTCCAGGGAGGCAAAAAAACCCCAACAACTAAAATAAATAAATTTTAAAAAAAAGCCATTTGACATTGTGCTGCCTGAACACAAGAGGAGACTCAGCAGAGACTCTGTGTGTGAGGAGGGGAGGGGAAGCACTGAGTCCCGGGGGGGGAAGGGGGGGCAGTTCCTTACAGCAGCACCACCCAAAACCACAAAAAGCTGTTAAAATTTATTTTCAAGCAGGGGATTCCAGCAGCTGCTCCTTGGAAGAGATCCCCGTTCTCCCCTCGCCTCTGGCTCCCCTCCCGCAGCAGTGGGGGGCTGGAGCGCTTGGCTGCGCAGACATTCCAAAAAACACCTAAAATCCTTCAGATTTTCCTCAAGGAAGGGCCCCATCCTGAGTGTAGGGAGACGGTGTCCCAGCAGAAGTGACCCCAGAGACCCCCGGGCAGGAGGGGGGGGGCAGCACATCCCCCCCACGCAGGAGGAGACCGTCCCGGGGAGGAGACCTTCCGCAGCTCTGGGATCATTAAAATAATTTCAGGTGAACAGGAAAAACGAGCTTTTGGTGCCGGTGAAGCCCTGCAGTTAATCAGTCCCAGCCTCCCTCCAGCAGCTGACTCCATCCCGCCGGCTGCTGGGGGGTGTTTTGGGCCACCGAGGTGGAGACAGACACCACAAAAACCCACCTCCTGCCAGGAACCGGGCGTGGAAGTCACAAACACCAACTTGGAGTTGAAATTTGGCTTTGGGGTGAATTTCCCCCACCCCAGCCCCCTGCAAACCGACGGGAGGGAGACACCGAGTCGGGGCTTTGCTCCAAATCCTGACCCCATCCTGCTCCTGCCCCGCAAGGACCGACCTCCCCAACCACCACGGGAGAGGAGACGACGCGGACACGCAGCCCAACGGGGAGATTTCCTCCTCTCCTCCTCAAACACCTTCAACCTGAGGCTGCCCTTGTGAAAAGCAATTAGTCTGGAGTCGTTATGGCTGCCCAGCTCCTGCCATCACCATCCAGCCGAGCACACTCGCCGGGAAAGGGCACGGTCCCCGTCCCCCAGGGGCCACAGACCCCTGCCCACAGCAGCCACCTCCTCTCCCAGTAGCCCAGAACCACGCCAAACTGGCCACCAGTTCAGGAGCCACTTGCCAAGGCCACTTGGCCACTGTTTTTTAACATGACCAAACCCCCAGCTGGTAAATCTTCCCCATTCCGGGGGCCGGGACGCTGCCCGGGGTGACGGTGCCATGGCAGGACAGGTAACCCCAGGTGACAAACCGGCCACGGGACCAGAGGGATTAAGGAGAAAAGTGGGGATTTAAACGGTCGCTGCCGCGCATGGGGCCGAACCCACCCCAGGGAGCTGGGAAGAAAGAAGAAAAACCCACAATTGCCCTCTTTGGAGGGGTTTTTTTTGCCCTTCCCACGTTGTATGTGGGTCAGCGGGTCTGAGCTGGGACCCCAACGCCCCCGGGGCACAAAAAGGTCTGAAACCCACCAGAAATGACACCAAATCCCCCCAGCAAAGCATCACCGGGGGGGCGAGGGGCACCGGGGCCAACCCCCGGACCCCCTGCGGCAGGGAAGGCTGGAGGAGGAGGAGGAAGAGGAAGCAGCATTCAGCCACGCTGCGTCACCGGACAAAGTATTCGTAACCCCCCGAGAACGAGCCAGACACAGAGGCTGGCGGGGGGGTTTCGGGGGAGGATTTTGGGGGGGGATTTTTATTTTGAAGCGCAGAAAGTGCTTTTTGCTTCCATTCATCCCCCCCCCACACCCCCTCCATCTAATTCCTGCCGCCTCAATTAATCCCTCCATCTAATTCCTGCCGCTGAGCGGCAGCTACAGCCCTCATTTCTCACGCCGCTAACGCCCGCCGCCGGCAAAGAGACACTCCCCTCCGTGCC